CAATGCTTTTTGCCACGATTTTGCCGTGTTTCAGTTCTTTTGTTTTTTAGCCTTAACCCTTTCGCTGCCAAGGACGTACGGCATACGGATTGCAGAAAAAGAAATTGAGGACTTATGTCCTCAATTTCTTTTTCTATTTCAAAAGGGAAATGCCAGGGGTCTATTTAGACCCCAGATATTTCGCCGCAGCCCCCCCAAAGGTAAAAAAATAAAAATAAAAAATTATAAAAAAATAAAAAATGTAAAAAATTAGCTGATTTGAAAAATGTTCCGGAGGGCTTGGCAGCGAAAGGGTTAAATGGGCTTTCAAGTGCAGTTCAGTGCGTTTGACGAGTTTTGCGTATTCCAGACTAGAAAAAAATAGGACGCACAGTATTTTTTCAGTCTGGAAAATACTGCAAAGGTGTGAACTGTAGCCCAGACATCACATAAGAATACATTGTGATGTATTTTTGGTCCAGGAGCTAACTGTTCTGTTCTGGACATTGTGTGAACATTGAATTTGTACATTGTGTGAACAAGCCCTTACTGCCACCTTATTAAAAGAACTATAATGCATGTCACATGAGGCAATGTCAAGTTACAAGCAAGGGTTAGGGACTGCTGGAGCAATACAAGAGATTGCTAAAGACAGTTTCAAAGTTACAGGAAATTGCAAGAGACTGTTGAAATCATAAGACACACTAAAAGACTGCTGATACCGTATATACATGCACAAACCAACATTCCCTGTGCAGCCAACATGTTAAGCAAAACTGAGCTGCAATAATGAAGCAAGATAGTCCAGGATTAAGGAAGGTTGTGCTGGTAAACTCAATAAGTATGTATTGGGGGGGAAGACCCAGGGTGCAGCAGTGCCACACTACCTTCAGATGTATGCAACTTGTTCCATCCAATACCTAATTCAGATTATGATTTATCGATGCATACTCTAGCTACTTTGACATAATTGTAGATCTTACATGTTTGTCATCTTTTAAATGTTTAACGTTATTAGTTGTGAGATGATCTGCAATTATATTGAGGTTTTCACCACCAATATTTGGCAGCATTTATCACAGGATTTCAATAACCAACAGATCCGTAGTAGTAAAAAAAAATCATAATGGCCATGCTGAATAAAAAAAGGATGTGCTTTTAAGCAAACTTCATCTTGATCCTGACAAGCCAGTTAGTTTAGATTACCAGCCACAGTGCTGAGCCTAAATGCTTGCTGGAGGAAAGATGACCCTGAATTGTAATCCAATTAGTGAAGGTAATCACTGCTATGGAAGATAGAAACTGCCTATTGTTGAAATAATCTCGATCAGATACATCTGCCCTAGGCTTTATTAAAGCGCTGACGTTCTCTCTGATGTGATGGTATAAGACATTTTCAGAAGATGCTCAACTACACTGAAATAGGATAAAACACAGCTAGTGAATCAAAATAGAAAAGATTATCCAATGCCTCATTTTATAATTAGTGGCAAAACAAAATGCCTTTGTCAAAACAAGCTAAATAACTTAATTACATTTTAGGACTGGTACTTGATGAGTTTACTACCAAGCATAGTTGCTGTTATTAAACTTCTATTTGCCCATTAATCCTTACACAATGAAAACTGCATGTAAGACAGAGGGCCATAGAAGGCAATCAATATTTATTAATCAAAGCTTTACTCACATAGGGCACTTATCTGTGTCTCTAGACCAGGGGCGGGCAATTCCAGCCCTCCAGCTGTTGTAGAAGCATAAGTCCCATGAGGCATTGCAAGACTCATAGTTACAGGCATGACTTCCAGAAGCATGTTGGTATTTGTAGTTAAAGCACTGCTGGAGGGCTGGAGATGCCCACCCCTGCTCTAGAGACAAGTCATTAGCCATACCCTTTATTGCGCTGGATTTAAATTAGTGAAAGCCTCTATTCATTCTTTGTGGAGGAACAGAGCTGCCTTTCAGGCAATTTGGGGTTAACGCATGCTTGGACATTGACGTGCACAGGAACACAATACTGTACATTTTATGAGTGCCAATGTCTGTGCTTGCATCAACTTCCAATGAGTCTGAGTGACAGCTCAGTTCAACCATAGAGATGAAAAGAGAGCGTCACTTCTGCTTTAACTACCATTTAGGAACAGAAAAGGGTGAGAGCAGTGACTTATGTCTACAGATGCAGGCAACTGCATCCTGTGAGATAATTATAAACATGAGCAAGCATCTCATTTTACAGGGAACCCCCAACCAGTTAATGTCATGGAAAATAATGATCAAGCACCTATGAAATCTTGTCCCGATAGCTTCTGTTCTTATATGAGATAAGCAGCGAGGACAGTGCCCGATACTCTTCCCTTTCCATCCCCCTAGATAACCGCTACATTCCTCTAAAGAAAACCATTACTGTTTAGGAGACAGCCAGGCACTAAACATGCCTGAGGGTGTTTGGATTGTGCATTTAAATCCTTATATAACCTAAAAGAAAAATCACCCCTCAAACTTCAAACAAAATGGGAGATCCAAATAGAGCCAGTAAAGGGGGATTAGTGGGCATAGATCCCGCAAGAGCTCCTTTTCACAGAGCAAAGATATTTAATATAAACGTATCCAAACAAGTTATACACTCTGGGTGTGAGCCGTTAAGTTGTGCAGTGCTAGATGCTAGAATCACCATCTCTCACCAAGCAGATTATGCACACTGCAAGTGTGATTGTAGACGACGGTGGAAAAGTTGGTTTGCTAGCCTTCACAGTGCAGGGAAGTCCAAATCTGGTAGGCCCCAGTCTCTCAGGATCTCTACTTCAAAAGCCTGATTGCTAGGCCAGGGACTGAGAAGCAGGGTGAGAAACCGATTAAAGAGACAGAAGATACAGACAATCTGGGAGGGCAAGGCGAAGGTCTCTAAGCAGCCTGACAAGGTCGGAGTACCAAACCCACTTGGGTCAGTTTCGTGTGAAAAGCATCACTGGGATGCTATCTTGCTAGATCATGTGGACCAGTCAATGGAGTATCAAAGGAGGAAAAAGGACGAAGGCTAGAGGATCCCCGGATCTGCAGGCCTAGCCTGCTGAATTTGTGGCCAAACCTAGAACACACATTAGGAGGTGCAGATCCGGCACCCCCTACCTGCAACAGAGGTCTGGAATCATGAGAATGGCCTCCTCTGGTTTTTAGGACGTTGCAAAGGTCTGAGGTGAAATAGTGCATGGGCTTGTTTCCAAGGAGAATACTTTCAGACACAAGATCCTCAGGAAAAAAAGCAAGGTCGATTGGCTCCTGAACTGGAGAGTCCTAATGTGTAAGTGGAGAGTCTGGTCCAGGGGAAGGAACCTTGAACAGGGCCGTGTCTATGACCAGGCTCAGATAGTTATGAGATAGTTCCAGCAGCAGTTCAGAAGATTCAGGATCATCTCTAATTTCTCTAGGGTCTGCACAGGCCGAGATGACTGGTTCTTTAGGAGAAGGTAGCCCAAATATCCCACTAAGGAAGTGCTCTGAGATTGAAACACAGCAAGAATAAAGGTTTGCACGTTGGTAAGACCTGAGGAGCAGAGGACAGACCCTAAGGAAGGTCTGCATTCAGAAAGGTTGTACACCCACAGCAGAAAATGCAGATAGCATTGAAGTGCTTGGAAAATGAGGACATGAGAATAGGCATCCCTGAATTTCACAGATACTAGATTTCTTGGATGGAGGGAAGTAATGAAGGATTCCATGCAGAATTTTTGTACCTGGAAGAAAGGAGTTAAGAACCATTAGCTCCAGTATGAGGCGGGTGGATGTGAAGACTACATCACAAAGCTCTAAAAACGTAGGAGATAAGTCCAAGGACTAAACTTCTCCATGTACAGCACAGTGATAGGATCATAAACCAGAGGAGCCTGCAGAGCCGCTTACTCTTGCACTCAAGATATGCCATACTAACAGTATAGATATATAAGCGAGACCTCACTGTTGAGATGAACTCATGACCCAGCTGCAGAGCAAGAGGGGATAGTGGCCGGTTGAGACTAGGTAACCATCGAACAGTATGCAAGTTAAATAATACTAGAAAGGGAACTGACAGACCAACTACAGGGCATGAGGAGTAATTGACCATTTTTTACTAGGTTTGGAGTTTAAGGGTACATCACCATAGGGTGCTGTGCAAACAGTAAATAAATGAGACAAGGGATACTCTTAGAACTGTCTAGCATGAAGGGTTAAACCCAACTGGCACTAGGTCACCACAGGCTGCTGTGCAAATAGAAACCAACGAGACAGTATTAATGGTTGTACATGACTGTCACCATAGGTCACTGTACAAACAGTGTACTGTGAGATAAATACAAAAATTACTTACAAACCGCTGCAGATCAATGGCCACCTGTGACTAGGTCTCCATAAGCCATTATAAAGATAGTATACAGCGAGATGTCTAAAAATGTTGCAGCTCCATCAGTTACCCACAGCAAGGGGGAAAAAAAGAAAAGACATAGGAAGAAGAGGGAGGAGTGGCTTCTGGGGAGAAGAGACAAGCCCACAGGTACTCACAGTTGGTGGACCAATTTCCTGAAGGAGGCAGTATAACCCAGTAGTCTAAGAATACTGTCCTCTTTCCTGTCATATACAATTAAGGAATATGCGCTTACCAGGGTTCATTGCAGAGGTTTGTAACTATACTGTATTGCCATACAGTTATTTCATTTGTTTGATGTTTTTAGAATTATTACTGCAAGGTGAATAATTTGATTTGAGTGATGCAAAATTATATTTTTATACATTGTAATGTCATGTGTCTATTTACACAATTGTTTTTTCTATATATATTTTGTAAGTGCAATTTGTTATGGTTTTTTTGCTGCCACAAAGTCATGTAGTTCTGTTTTACACTGTAATGCTTGGAAATAGTGTTAGGTTGGGATATCAGGACATTGGGGATAGAGTTGGATTAGGTTGTTTTGTTCTTATTTGTTAAAAAGAAAAAAGCTTGGTTTTACAGCTGAATAAAAAATGAACATATATATGCTGGCAGCTACACTTACCCATTAAAATACCCAGAAGTTTTTGAACTCTAGAGTTGACACCAACAATTCGATAAAGTCCCTGTTCAGTGATTCCTGCAAAAAACAAAAGTTGTTACCGATGTAGTTGAATAAAAAGGAAGGTTTTCTGGTTTTTTTTTTTAACCACTAATAAATTGATTGTTTTAATTTATGCAAATATGAAACAGCTTACCATAAATAATGTTATTAGTGTGCCAATCTTTTAAAAACCTTATTTCTATGTATAGCCTGTAAGAAGACACAGTATGTGCCCTTTGTAACATGTAGTGATTAAACTTATATAAGATTATTGAGGCACCAAGAGCGTTGCCGCTTGTTAAGTAGAGGCTACAAATGTACATAAGGACATAATGACAATACAAAAGGGTAGGTGATAATGTAAGGATTTCATTTAGGGTTATGTTAGGTTGGTGTTAAAGGATAACTATGGGGTAACCTTTTTATCCCATAGTTCTCTTTAGGGTCATGGGAGGACATATACTAACATCCTCCAAAGCTCAGTATATAGCGGGCTATTGCTACAGTATATGCTGAGAGCGCCACAGCCGGGACGGATCCCAACAATACTGTTGAGATCCACCCCACTGGCTGATTGACAGAGGGCTCTGCCTATCTAGAGGCAGAGCCTGCTGTGCCCGCCCTGTCCGTTCCTCCAGTCAGCGCAGGAGGATCAGAGAGGGGAGGTGGGGAATCCTTGTGGGAAGCGGGAGGTGATCAGGAAGTGTTCGAGCAACGGTATGTGTTCACTCACTTCCCGATCAATACAGCCGACGAGTGACAGTTTCAATGTGGCACGTCGGCTCTAACTATGAGGATGAGTGTAAATCACTCACCTCATAGTTCTTTCAACCTCTCTTTCGGGATTAGGGCTGCGGACATTAACTGTTAAGAGGTTGTTTTAGTGGTTAAAGTCAAATTTAATATGGGGGGGGCAGCATTTACAACAATGTGCAAGTACGCTCTCCCTCAGGATTGGGAGGCCTGAGCTGATGTAATAGGGCTGTTCACTGCCCTACATTGCACAAGTACTGCAGTAAGTGTACAGATAACAAACATTTGCTGGCAGACAAGTTAGGTTTTTTTGGGGGCAGAGGAGGGTTCCAAAGTCTCTTCTGCCAAAAAAAACCTCTACCTGCTGGCAAAATGTTGTTTACCAAGTTTATCTCTATTTTTTTTTTTCAAGGTCTGAAATGTTCAAGTCATATTTTTGGTCAGGACCTGTGCCAACAGTTCCCTCAACAGTAGGTTATCTAGATACCCCACAAATCAGGATTTCCTTAGAGAGTGTAACAAGGCAAGCACACAGGGCTAGACGCTTGGTGAATATGCAGGGTATATGCAGGGTTTGTAAGACAGACCAAATGACGTGGCCATGAACTGAAAGTGCTGTAGACCCACAGCAAAGGGAAGGAATTACTGATGTGATTGAAAAAGAGGGACATGGAAGTACATGACCCTAATATGTCTATAAGTCAGAAAATCTCCTTGATGAAGGGAGGCCATGGGTCTAAATTAAGACACGCAGGGCCTTGGGATACAAGATGGCATGGATCCCCCTTTCAGCTTTGAAACTGTGAAAACTCTAGAATAGAATCCTTGAAACCTTCCCAGTAATAACTCCAGTAAATTGCTCAAGAAGACTGCAAGGGCTACATGGAGATCTGCCAATCTGATTGGTGACACAGGAAGATTGAAAGACATCAACTGAGGAGGGGTTTTGAGAGTAAAACTCTAGTTTGTAGTTCATTAAAACCACCCCATACTCAGGCATCAGGGATGCTGATCCCTTTATGCAGACAAAGACTTGTCTGCAGGTAGAACAGATTTGGATCCTGGGTTGGGTTGAACCTTGGAGGCTAAAACCTGCGAATAGCAAAATTAACCGTCTTGGTCTCAGAGGGTGAGACTAGGGAAGGCCTAGGCTTCTTTTGCTGGGGTAGACGAGTACTCTTACTCCCAGTGGCATTCTAGATGAGGGTGTCCAAGGCAGGCCTGAAGAGGCATTTTCCCTCAAAGGGCATGTGCAGTAAACACTTTAACTGATTGGAGACTCCTACAGGAAATAAGACCGGAGACATCCTCTAACCCAGTATTGAAATGCTATCAGAATGAACTATAATCATTACGCAAATAGAGGATTATTGTGGAAATAAGATGGATCCCTTGTCATTAAGCTATTCTCCTAACGTTTGACAATCTAACATCTTGGCCATGGCAAGTTACAATGCAGAGCCTGCTACTGAAAAACAAGGCTTAAGAGAGTCCACTAAAGGTTTGCCTATGGGATCATTAAATACTGGTCTATCATGTACAAGAATCATCACTGCTTTGTTAAGATGGGGCACCACCAAATGCAGGCGAAGCTATGCTTATGCTGTTTGCAGTCAATATCAGCAACTAAAAATAAACTTTTAAATTAAACCCTGCATACCTGCAGTGAACTCCTCCCAGGTAAAAGCCAGGAAGGGGGGCACACCCAATGGAGCCAAGGAGGACTCAGAAAAATGCAAGCACTGTTAGTGAATTGCAAGCCAGAGGCCCCAAACACAGCGGGATTGCTTCCTTTGTATTTGGTATCTGACATGTTGCACAACAAGCAGGAACATCTAGCTGTAATTTAGGGTACCCCGAGTACTCAAACTGACTGTTGGAAGAAGGAGAGATTCAAAGGGTCAGAGATGACCAGCTCATCATAGGCAGCCACACCTGACAGAGGTGGAACTGCATATCTTTTGTGATTCGGAGCAGTGGCGGAAAGGCCCTACTTCATGCTAAATGGCAGGAAGAGAGTGTGCACACATGACACTCCAACTAGTGAAGCAGCATTCAGTTCCTCATAGTAGCAGCCCTTTCCATGGGATCAGCAAAAAAAAAAAGGGAGGATAATTATGGTGCTCAGCTCACATGGCCATTCAATAATGAGTCTTCAAAGACTGGGTAACACCATAGAATCTGTCATGACTCTGGACCTGGAAAGCACACAGAGGTCTGGAAAGCTACACAAGCAGAGCCAGTAACTGGAGATCCAATTCCAGGCAGGCTCCACAATCGTCAAGTGGGGTCTGGATACATCCATAAGGTTTCCCAGCTGTGCAGTCATAACAGCAGGATTTAGGATTTTCTACAACTTCTTGGCTTCGGCTTTGCTTTCTAGCTATGATTAAAGCCTTTATAACTGAAATACATAAGGGGGATTGCTGTGCTGTTATGTGTTTATATGGAGATGTTTATTTGACCTCTAATAAAGTTCAGAGAAGATTCATGATAAGTGCAGGACTTTTGCATGTATTACTGCATAGGCTTTCCACACCTGCCTGGCACATGTATATATTTATTCCTTATAGCAAACTTCCTGTGAGGGAATAATTACATCACTTTCCTGAGACAGTAGTAACACCTGCATAACCGTCCACTAATGTTCAGGGACAGACTCTACAAAGGTGGCATATAGATAATATATACGAGATAAAATATAATACATATTTTCAAGTGTGCATACATGCACAATGCTTACCTTGCAATTTCAGTGTTTTTATTAATAAATTATGAATTCATTTTTTTAGTTCTGCTTTATAGTGTATCTCTAGGCAATACCTACTTTATTTTAGTTTTAGGGAAAGGTTTGCCCCCTCGTCAAGTTTTTATTGCTGCCTGTGTCTCCATTGGCGACATTCATCCCTATATTTTTACTGGTGACCACTGTCATTGGTAAAGAAAGTGAGGGAAATCCAAAATGTTAAAGTTGTCCCCGGGACAAGAGTTAAGGGTAAAGTTTCCAAAGAGAACTGTTCCGAGGACAACTCTTTAAAAGGGGAATTACTCTAGCTTCCTTTTGTGTCTGTGGGGAAAGGAAGTGAAGGGACATTTCCCCAATGGCAAACAGAAAGCAGTTTAACCCTCCCTTTTACAGAAAATGAGAAAGTAATGACAATGATATCACCAAGTAAACAGAAATGTAGAAATTTCTTTGGTCTATAAAGTGGTTATAGGTGTTAGAGATTAAGTGGTTAAATACATCTACAGTACCATGCACTTGACATTAGCATGACAATGAACAAGCTAAATAAAAAAACGCAACACTGCTGAACATATAGTAGAATAATTAAAAAACATACACAGTATGATAACTGAATCATTGAATCAGGCATTTATAGACACTTATATACACCTTAACAGTTTGAGGGTTCTCCTGGCTGCCTGAAAGGAGATTTTTACCAACAAATACCTACGTAGCATCTAACAGAAGTCAATTGTGGGTAAGCCTTACCATAGGGAATCAGAACTTAAAGTAAAAGCTTGGTAACAGCTGAATCCTTCTGATGTAGTATATGTAAATTACAAGAACAATAGCAACTACTTATTTTAATATTCACAAATTGCTTTACAAAAGGTCAAACTTTAAAAGTCTTAATTGCTGTCATGTTCTGACTATGGCTGTCAGCTGCAGCAGAATAATGAAACTATTCGCTGTCATTTATTACACATCATTGTTACAGTGTCAAGTCAAATTCATTCTTCAGATTTTTCTTTGACATTTAACCAGTATAGACAGATTATAATGGTTGTATCTCCTTCAAAGTCATCTATCATTCATGGAATTACTAACAAGTAATAAAACAATATCTGAGAATGGCAACAATGGCAGGACACATAGGAGAGCATATATATATGAGGTGTAATATATATTTCTTCTAATGGGCACATTCACATACACTCCGCACATTCACATACACTCCACAAGCACTGTGTATGCCAGGTAAAATGGGATAATTTTAATGATAATGACCATTATAGGTACTATAATGGAATAATATGGTATAGCTATATTTGTCAACTAATCGCTGATCTGGCTTATTTAAAAAAAAACATTAGAATATAGTGTCCAGTGCAACTGCTCATATTAGAGTTTTTACTTCCTGATGAGAATAATCTGGTCTAATGAGAATAAAAACAGTAATTTGACTGTAAAATTTACACTTAGTTAGTTTTACCATCATTAAAGGCTTGTTTGTCATCATGTATGTCAAAAAGTGACAGCATGGAGGCCAAGGCTG